ATTGAGCCTTAAATACTAGCACCAATATAGACGCTTTCACTGTACTCGGGGCAGTTTTGTTACCATAACCATAAAGTAACCGGAATTTGCAGTTTAGCGTCTTTTGTTTCTTACTGGGCTTTCGGGAGCAACTTTTATTATCATGCGACGGCCTGTTCCATTTTCGATCTCAAGTATTATAAAAGCTTGATAACATAACGACAGTAGGTTTTCTATTATACGCGACTGATGTATAAATGTATATATATAAAAATATATAAACCATTTGTCTTCGCAAAATAATTATGCCCACCACTAAATGAATATTTAAAAGGAAAACAGAACTTTTGGAAAGAGGATACACTGCATACATTATCGGAACAACCTTCAACCAGGTGTGTTTCTGGCATTGCCTCATATTTTCCATCCCTACCTAGATATTTTCGGTACGCTAAATTCGAATAGACATACATTTATTTATGAATATAATTCTTCTTGAACTTTTTGTCGAAACACTTTTATTAAAGCCCGCTTCACTGTGTTTTTATCGTGTGTTTCTTTGGATAGTTTGTATCGATGGTTCGAAACACGAAAAGGATTAGCCGAGACTTACAACTATCAACCAATATTTGAAGAAGCTTTTAATGGGGCTACGGCGTAACCTTTTGACTTTTATCATACTTTGTTTGTGTTTTTAAAGTTGGGCCGGAGTGCGCTGTAAGCCCACAAGAGATTCAGTGTTGAAGCCCAAGCCTGTCGTGGCCCTCTTACGATCCTTGAGCACATCTTTGATTATGATCACTTCCACCCCTGCCTAAACATACTGAAAAAACCCATAAAAGCCAATGCATTGGAGCTCTAATCAATGACTTTTTTTTGTAACCTGAACCCCTTTAATATAGGCAGAATTAATAGCCGAATTGATCTGGCCAAGCCCGTATTTCTGTCCGCCTGTCCGTCTGTTTGTCCGTCCGTCCGTATGTATGAAATCAAGGATCTGAGAATCTATAAGCTAGACACTTTAAATTTAACATGAATGCAGGTCCTTCTAGTACCCGCGCAGTGAGGGTTTATTTCCGATAATCGAAACCTTGCCCCGTTTCCAAACAATCGATTAAAATCGATATCGAAATCCTGATTTTAAGCCAATCTCTCAGGTTTTAGATCTAGAGTCACCAAATACGACATGTATGTTCTCCTACGCCCCTTAACAATAAATCAAATAAATTAATCAATTTGAACCAATCAACTTAGGCAAACAAATTTTATTCAATTGTACCATACGATCTATTGTGGAAACTTTCATCGTGGTTGGTTAAGAATCAAGCAAATTGCAAGAATTTCTTTATACATGTTCAGACACAAATTCACGCGCATGTTTATCAAATTCTATCAACAGCATTGCAATTGTGCTTGTATTGTATTCTCTAATGTGTTTATGTGCTGCTATTAAAATTGGTTTTTTGTTTTTTGTTTTTATTAAGAGTGAATTGTTGGTATGACTTTTGAGTATAGATGGTGGCAACGAGTGCAGTCGGATACGCGATACACTATCTAAGACAGAAAAGGCAATAGTAAGTTCAAAATATTATATAAGATCTCAATATGCTGATCAATATAATAAAATCAATATCTTTTACCACAAAAAAAATCATATAAAAGTGTAATTGATTAGGCCCACATTTACAAATTTTGATTAGTTTGTGTATAATCCTTTTCTTTTTGTTGACATTTTAATAAGTTTTATTTTGCGCAGTGCCCTCTGACCTCTACCAAGTGAATATATAAGCGAATAATGTGTAGATACAACTGAGTAGCTCATATGATGTTTATATGAATTTTTACAAAGAAGGTTCAGGAGATATTTAAGCAATTCGCTTTGTGGGTAGGTTGCCTGGGTGTAGCCATCGGAAGCGCCTCTCTCTGATGGGGTATGCCAGGACCCTGGCGGCATAAGATGTGTGCACGCCAATATTGTGTACATACCAAGGCTGCAAGACAGTTCCAAACTAAACCACAATTTTATTTTTAGGAGTTAAGGACTTCATATTTGGGATATATGTTCGAAGTCGATTAATATCGACTATCAAAACTAGCAGGAAACTCTCGACTAAGGCTATTTGCTTGGTTGGAACTGGGGCTGGTATCCAAAAAGTGAAATCATCTCGTTCTGTGTGTACTGTACTGTACTTATATAACTTAAGCTAGCAACCAATAAGGCTGTTGTTATTCGTGATCCTTAAATATAATAAGGCATTAAAGAAGTTCTTAAATCAGCTTGCCGCCTGTAGATTAGTTGACATTTCACCCCTTGGTACCCACACGAGTGGGTGGAAAACAATGTTACTTGAATAACTTAATAGAATAAGAGCAATTAAAAATGGAAATTTGTTGTGAAATTCGTTAAAAGTGTGAATTGTTCAATTACTCCCAAAGCGGGTGTTGCCGGCAGGGGTGTGGCCAGGTATTCTTTGATTGGGAAACTTTTCGCACAGCAACTTACGCAAATTGCAAATGGTTTAATTAAGCGCAAATGGCTGACAATAAGAGTGTCATTATAATTGTTGACAGGCATAATAAAGGAAAGCTGAAAACATCGAAGGGAGAATGACCCAACTACAGGCGGGTCACGCCCAGCTTTCAGTTGAAGTTAAGCCTGAAGTCCGATAGCAGAATTTGCTAGTACCACTGACGCCAGCGACGTGAAATATTAAAATTGTAAATAAAGTCATGCCAGGCGTACAGACTAGAGGGAGATTTCTATTGTTGGGCTTAGTAAGTGAACTACCATGGTTATTGAGGAACGCACTTTATTTGTTGTTACGGCATAGTTTTGAATATTCTTAGAGAAACTTGAAACTCTTGTTGAAAAAATAACATATTCAAAAGTTTTTGATACCACAATGCAACACAAATATTATTGATAGACGTGGGGTCACTCACAACGAAATAGTTATTTTTATTTATTTTTAAAATGTTTTAAATAATTGCTTGGTCTTTTGACTGTATTTGACGAAATAACCTTAATGCACTCGATAATGATGAGTAGTGGGCTTTGGGCTGGCAATAGCAAGCCCCCACTGGTGGCGTTGACGACTTCAATTGACTAAGTGGGGGAAAAATGAGATAGACTTTGAAGAGTACATGGCGTTGATTCGTTTAAATAAAGATAACGCACACGCACACAGTGAACTACAACTCTCGCCAATGGGGTTGGGTTGAGGGTGGGCCTCAATACAGTCAATTGGGCATGGATGCTGAAGAGCTACAGCCGGCATCTCTGTTATCAACTCGTTGTCAGTTAGCTAATGAGACTGACCGCAGCCCTACAACCCCTCAATTGTTGTGCTGTTGCACAAAGAGTGTTGGCCTCGTTTGACACCCAAAAACAGCAACTGCCGACGGCAAAACTGCAGCCAATGCTGCAGGTCGCCCGCAATGTTGAAAGATGTGAGCGGCAGACAATCTCTGGGGCGAGCCAAATTAATTTGCAGGGTTAAGAGGCTTTCATTCTACAGGAATGTGCTATGTGCGTGCTATAGGCTGGCTTTTGATTCAGGCCCTTTACTCAATTGATCGTGTGCTTGTCCAGGCAATGATTCAAATGTAGCATCTGCTATTTGGGGTCCGTCTATGAGCATAAGCATGCTTTTAACTTTTTTTGATATATAATATCTTATCAAAAGTATTTCAGTATTATTCACGTCGATACGTAGAAAAACCTTTACTATGTGTAACAAGTAAGGGGTTCTTGTCGCGAGCTCCCGATTAGGGGATACCCTAAAGTCTCCTCTTCCAACACGAAACGCAGCTCGCTTTACGCGCTCCTTTGCTTTAGCAGTAATAAATATAAATTAACGATAATATGAGCCCAACTCTAGCTATAAAATGTAAGATATTTGATATATATGTATACTATACTAGGAGCTACATGTCAGGTGCGGTGACTCAAGCTCTTATAACTAACTAGCTTTGCCCATAAATCATGATTTCGATATCGAAACGGGACAAGCTATCGATTATCGGAAACAAACTTGTATAGCGCGGGCACTAGGAGAACCTATATTCCAAATTTTAAGTGTCTAGCTCTTATACGTTCTTAGATCCCTGCGTTCATGCATAGGGACGGTTGAACGGACGGACGGACAGACGGGCATGGCTAGATGGACTTGGCTATTGAAGCTGATTAAGAATATAGGTGCTTTATGGGGTGTTACATACATTTACAAAGTACATTATACCCCTTTAATTAAATTAAACTATTATCTGAATAGGAGGCGCCGATTTGCTTGTAAGGCCTAAACATTCTTCCTACAGATAACTCTGAAGTAAATTATACACACTTATCTCGATCTAATCGAATTTGAAAGGCATAAACATGGCACCAAAATGTAATTAATAATTCCCAAAGTAATCACTTTTATGTGGAAATAGGGGGAGGTACCCAAGAAGCAAAGTATATTCTGTATCTGAATCTTCTATACGAGAACTTACATTCCAAGTTTTGATAAAGCTAGTACTCATATCTTATTTTCGATATCATGAAAGTTATACGACTTATCACTAAATAATAATTGGCTCAATATGAATAGCCAGGGTCACTCTGCCTGTAACATACATACATTCTAACAAAACCAGTATACACTTTTTACCAATTTTTAATGATTCAGGGTATAAAAAGAACTGATTGGTTCCGATGCGACTAAATTGATAACACTTCAATACAATGTGTTTACGAAGACGGGGCTTTGGAGTAGAACAAAACATTAGTTTTTTTTTGAATGATCTAAAGCGAACTACGGGTGCCCCGACTGTAGGGGTGGGGGTCAATGTTGTTGCAAATTTATTAGCTCGATCTTTAGGGAAGGTCATGTGTAGTCGACCAGCAAGATTGGCCAATTCTCGTAACACATTTTCTGACCCATTTATACAAGATTATGTATTTGAAGGTTATAGCATAGGAAGAGTCGATTTTACCTTGTGAATGAAGTATACAAAGCTATATAATAAAATAAATATTTATTTCGTGTTCCAAATTTCAAGTTTTAGTTTTTTAGCTTCTAATATTCTTTTTATTCATTTTCACAATCTGGGCTTACTCATTTTGAAAATCCAGGTGCAATAATTTTGAATTGGAATACAATTTGCATAAAAACAAGACTAACCAGTAAGAGTTGTCTAATGAACATTGCGTAACATACACACATACATTCATATTTCATTTACACACATGCACAGCTGTTGTGCTTCTTCTACCCCGAACTGGACGCTATGGGAAATTCATTCTGGATTAAGGGCCTTAGATTGGTATTGTTATGAGTACATATTCCAAAACGAAAGGCTTCTAAAACAATTTTTATATTTCAGGGAAAACGGGGGAGTAAGTCAATAAGTCAATAAAGAAAATCGTGATTCCTGTATTCTATACGAAAGAGACAAAATGATTATAAAAGATCTAGGCTGACAATAAATACTATCAACTTGCATTTAACAGGATGAGTAATTGATGATATTACTTGAGCATAAGCTCCAAATATGAGATTCCTAGATCTTATAGCTTCTAAGTTAGACAGGTAAGTACGTAGGAATGGACGGACAAACAGATAGACAGGCCGAAGCACATGGCTAATAAATATTTATGCAGACATATGTACATTTTACGGACATTCTTATCTGAAACATTGTCACCATACAATTACTCTATTCACCTATTTTCATTAGATACCCTGCAGACAGCATTACATTTTCCTAATTACTTAGGTCTTTTTGTAAATAAGTATATATGTACACATATGTACATTTTTGAATACGTGCATCCTAAACATCCTGCACTCATAGTAGTTGTTTAAATAAAACTTGTATGGATTTTATCCGATCATAACAAAATACCAAATATATTGCGATTTTGATTGTTGGCTGGGGGTAGCTATAAAAAATGGATAGAAACTGTTTGCTCTACAAAAAGCTACATACCTTACACTCATTTTCAGCGGATGAAGGGATAAAACAAATGAATAGAATTCATAGGATAAAAATGCGCAACATTTTTGAGCATGCGCGAGATACGATGTCACCGCAGGCAGCTAATAAGGGCTTTAATTAAAGTTGCGCTCTCTTTATTTTCCTATACAGGGGACTAGAGCAAGGTAACGCCAGACAGACAAGGTGCGCTAGCGCGCTAACGCGCGTGCCAATTGTACAACCGTCTCTCTTGCACAGCGGCCATTGCTATAATTATAGGTTAGGGCAAATGCAGCATAAGCCAATGTTCGGATTGGTCGTTACAACCGCGTCGGCGCACAGCACGCACACAACGGGGCGTCGCCAAACGAAACCCGTTTTGAGCGCGTGCTTGCTTACTTTTATGAATGAACTGCATGAAATAAAACAAGCGGCGCCCTCTACAAGCCGGCTAGCTAATACATCATCATCAGGCATAGCACCAGCACCAGCAACAGCAACAGCAACAGCAACAGCACCAGTACCAGTAATGCTCATCATAGCCCTGGCTCGCATTCGGTGGTGGCTTGGTTTATTGCTGTCTCTTTTGTGCGCTTAAAACGCAAGAGCTACGCCAATGTTAGGTGTAACTGCGTCATGATGAATGGGAATGGCTGCTGCTGTTCTCGTAGCTGCTTTGACTGCGGGAGAGCGTAGCGTCAGCAGCAAGGCTGCGGTTTGGATTGCTTGGTTTGGCTGCAGTCGTTGTCGCTGTCTCAGTTTGCTAGCGCACACAGCTAAAGAAGCAGAATATACAAATACAACAATTGCGAATTGCTCTCTCTCTCTCTTGTTTTGACGCGCCCTCTGCTGTAGCTGAACGACGACAACGCCTTCGCTTGACGTTGACGGAGCAGTCGCCGCCAACGACAAAACGGGAATGGGCCCAAGCTTTTTGTTTGCGCTGGCATCGCGTGAAACAGTTGCAAGCCTTTGAACGATCAGCGACGACGCTAAAAACTTTTGCGCGGATATATTTTGTTTCTCAGTGCAGACGCCTCCTTCTCGCCAACGTCGCCGCCGACGCCTGTGCAAACATCAACAACAATAACAACAACAACAATAACAACAACAATAACAACAACAAAAACAACAACAACAACAACAACAACAGCAAATAACAACTACAAACACATACAGTTTTACAGTGCGTCATAGTAAATGTGAATAACACTTCTGTTTTTTCTGTTGTAAGTTGGCCCACGCGGTTTATTGTTTTAATTCAGTTGAAACTATATTCTAATCGCTTCCATTTTCTTTGATCCGAAAGCTGTGAATCGACAAACAAAAGAAGTTGGCGCTTGCGCCTTAATCAATTTGGCAAATCGAATAGCGAGTTGAAGTTACAGAGCCCGTGACAGTGAAAGTAGCAGCAGTATTTTCAGCATAAAAATCATCAAAATTCATTTATCAGTAATATCCGCATCAGTTGCAACAATAGTAAAATCTGCTTCTCAAGTAACAGTGAAAAGTGCATTTTTAAGCAGTTTGAATCCTTATACAAGATCTTTTTTGTTGCATATTTTTTATTGTTTGCGACTAGCAAGCGTGTTTCTGTGTTTTTAATAAAAGTGTCTTTAGACAGCAGCTACAGCTACAGCTACAGCAACAGCAACAGCAACAGCTACAGCAACAGCCACAGCCTTAACGACACTTTTAACAGGAAGGCTTAGTAGCTACTAAGAAGCAACTTTGTTTATGTGCTTTGTTTGGAATAATCTAGTTTCCAGCCTTCAAAAACAAAAAGAGCAAACACAATTGCTGTACGCCTCAAAATTACAACGCCAACAAAAATAACGGAAGCAACTGCAGCAGCAGAAGCTAAAATGCTAACGGACATGACACCGACCGCCGGTCAATTGTATGGCTCGCAGATTCCAGCTATGGCAGGCATGAATATTACTAACATAGCGACACATTTGCAGAAGCCGCAAGTAAATCCGGTAAGTGCAGAATTCAACCAAAATGAAAGAGACAACTTCCTATTTGAGGGGTATTAGTTTTTATCTAAGCGTACTAACTCCTCCGCGTCCTACTCATTCCGTCACTTCTTAAGGGGCGAACTCAAATGATCATTATCAAAGCAATTTTAGGTTATTGCTCACAAAAAAAAAAAAAATGATACTTTATCAAAATTTGAACCGCTGCAAATTCTATATCCGTGGTGTAATATCATCTACAGAACGATCGAGCGGCAAATAGTAACTCCTTTAATTCGATGAAAATATAAAACCCTTAAAATTTAAACGGTCCCACTCACTTTATTTGTATAAATATCTCGATGACTGATCGATTGACCGAGGTAATGAAAGTCGATTGTGAGAAAATAGCGGAAAACGGCTGTATGCAATTTTTCCTGGATGGTAAATGGATGTCAAAGTTTTTATAGGCGATGTGATTTATTCTTTGTGTGATGTGATTAATTGTTATGCTAATCTGATCGACTTCAAACTTATTTGGAAAATGTGCATATTAACATATTAATTAAGGCGTGGAGTTTAAGAAATTATGGGTAGATTTAAAAGTCCCAAGCACGAAAAATAGTTGGAAAACCGATGTCTTATACTTATTTATCAAATTATAGTAGGCTAAAATAGCAATGCCATACGCTCAGATTGAAAAAATTGCAGATCTTAATAGAATAGGCTTATGTGAAAAATGTGTATTTTCAATTTTCTTCGAAAGCAAATTGTCCGACTCAGAAATATAAATATATTCAATTTCGTACGTATATAATTTGCATACAACAAACACCTTTTCCTAATACCTGGAATTGGGAAAGATATATCAAACAAAGATTTTTGTATAGTATTTCAGAGCATCATGTATTTACTTTAATGTTACCATAGTTCCTTTTGTTTATCATGGAACATTTGTCAAATATTTAAGTATCGCGACCGCTTAGATACATGTCATATGAAACAATGTGTACACTTTTGTATTGGTGTATTAATATTCACATTGTCAGGCCAGTTTGTGACAAATCAACCACTTACACGGCAGTAGGCTTAACAATAACAAACCAACATATTTCAACCATCCCGTATCGACATCGGCAACAAAGCTAATGCATTGAAACAAACAACGTTAAGCGCCATGCCAAATCACGGCTGAATTTAGAGTTCCAGGTACAAGAACAATCCCAGTGCCAGGCACAAACCCATGCACAGGAAAATTCAGTCACCCATGATTGGCATGGGTTTCTTTGTTGTCTGCGATCAACGTGACTCCACGATTAAACGGAAAATATCTAATGCTGCTGCTGAATCTGAGTAAAAGTCAATTCCTGAATTGATTAGATGCGGCTTGTTCAACGCGTCGCGGTCTGTGTGCAAACGCATTTCACGCTACGGCTTAGCAGATATTCACTTCACAGATACAAAAACAGGTAGAAGATATATACCAATTGTGTGATCTCTCAGGTATCGGTTGCTTCCGAATTCAAATATTCCGACTCAATTGCGATACTTTAGGTGTAAATCTGACAATGATATCATTTGCATCTCCTCCCATTGATGGCTACGTAGCTTTATTGTTTGCAGATCTTTGGATCAGAAATGCAATGGAAAATGCCACTTAGGTTTTAGAATCTAATATATAATAATAATAATTCAGCTCTAACATTATGTTTTGTATACCTTCATCGTACTGCTCTCTACACAGAATTCTAAACTTGGGAAAAAACTCATAGAAAAAAACATGTGCAATAACTAATAACTGATACACATATAAAATCTAAATAATTAAATTTTTAATATTAATTCATGTGTAAGTTATTTTATTTGTTAATATCCTACATTTTTTGAAAATGTTAGAGTTTATAAGAGCTAAAATCTCAATTTAACTTTGTTTATTTTTCGCGTTTTGCGGTACAGGCACGCTTTTGATGCCATTTTTATGTCCTGATATTAAAAGTTACTTAAAATACCTTTTACTCTAATATTATATTAGATCGACGCGTTCATACAGACAGTCCGTTGATATTAACCGACAATGTGTATATTTCCAAGAATCGGAAACATTATCTTTCGTCTGTTTCAAGCATTTGCGCAATGTTCATCCACTTTTTTTAAATTATATTTATGGGTGCGGGCGGGCACGCACGTAGACACATGAACACTTTTACACTTTGTATATATATTTATATATTTGCATTTTTTGTGAAACCAAGATTTTTGGGACAATCAGAAGTTGGCTTAGGTGATATTTCGCCCGAGCCTGTTTGATTCCTTTTGTTTTATCGTGAACACACGTCAAAGGAGGATATTTTCAAAAAGGATGCATTGTCACATAGGGGGACTCTGGGGCATCTCCTATGTCGTGGTTAGAGGAGGTCCTTGAACGATCTTCTCTTGAGCCTTCTGACTAAACAACTTCTAGCGAGGTCTCTTGCTACTCCTTTGAGGTCTCTGTGCATGGTAGAATTTCTAACGTGACAGTCAGGACCAGTCATTCGGTGCAAGCCCAAGTTTTGGAGTTCCTGAGTCCGTCTTCGATTTGTTCGAGATGAAATTCCCCAAACCTGGATACCGTATCTCCAAGTTGGCGCCACTAAGACGTTGTAAACTGCCCGTTTGCAGCGAAGTGGCAATGGGCTCTTCGGGTTTAGTAGCCAGTTTGCCTTGGCCATCTTATAACGGCACTGCTTAAGAAGGCGGTCGATGTGCGCCCGAAAGCTAAGCCTAAGAGGCTCCAGTACAATTCCAAGATACTTGGCGCTTCTGCCAAGGTGAAGGGGATGCCATCTATCCAGACTGCTGGAGCCTTGCCACGCCTCAGTGTATAGTTGACGACCTGGCACTTCGAGGCATTTAGCTTGATGTTCCACCTGCGTGCTCTCAAGCTCTCCTTGGCCCTCTCAGTGGCTTTGTACTCGCAGTGGTTTTGTGCTTCAAATTTTGGGTGTGACCTTTTCACGTATTTCCCGCCCTTAAGCCATTTAAATCTGTCCGTACTATCTCGAGCTACACGTCTTATGTTATATTTTGCAAGGATATTTAAAAAAAGGTTTGAAATCCATCCAATAAAGAACCATGTTAGCCTTGTGTTAATCGGACGGTACACAAAATAATTTCATGCAACCGTTTGTCGTGAATTTTCCAAACCGACAGAAAACTCTTACGCGCATCGCATTGATCACCAATATGTCATCAGTGAGGACGATCAGTTTTAAATAGAGTCTGCTGTCTGCCGTTGTTATTCAAATTAATGAAATTTTAGCTTGCATGGCGTGGCCAATTGCATAACACTTTTAATAGACTTGGCAACGTCAATAATGCCCTCAAAGCATCCGGCCAAATAGGCATAAAAATGTTGAGAACTTGGCTTCATTCCCGTGCCACTACTACTTATGACGCAACAAACAAGTACCTTCTAAAAGGCATGCCTTGATAATGCCACAAGCATAAAGTGTAAACGCCACGAGACTACGTGCGTCATACAATGTAAAACCGCAGAACAAAATGTTCTTTGCGGGCCTAGAACTGGAGCCAAAGTCATAGTTAGTTTTTTTGTATCGAGCTGGGCCCGATAAGTATTTTGATGGAGCGGGTAGGCGCTTATTAAAATTAATACCACATCAATCATTTTACAAACGTGCTGTCGGCCAAGTTCAAAGCCGCCTCTGTATACTGAGCGGCTAGACTCAAGTTTCTACTTCGGCTTCGCTATCCGTAGAGAACGCTTTAATCTTAGGCTCTGTTTAAGAAAGTTACACATGCGCATTGATTTTAATTAAAGGCGTTTAAAGACGCGACGCGAAAACAAAAAAAAAAAAAGAAAAAAAATAAGAAATGTTTTCAAAATGATAAATTACCAAGACAAACTGAAATTAACATTTATGCTTGAAACAAAGCACAACATATGTTTCAAGCTGCCAGATAGTCGAACATTCAGACCGTCAGACAGCAAAGGCAGCGGTAAAACGGTACGCGTCCGAGTTTCGGCTGTTAAATTATTGAAAATCATGCAATGCTGTTGCTGTTTTTCCCATGAACATCTCTTCGACTTGACTTGAAACATTCTCTGGGCCTGCGCATGGGCCTGGGCCTGGGCATGGGCCTGTTTATTCAGCACTGTCTGTCGGCATAATCAGCATAACAAAAGAAATTAAGCAATAATATATTAATGAAAATACAAATGCACATTGAGGTCTGTGCGGTAAGCTGAGAGCCAGCTGGAGTAAGATCGCCGCGTCATTGACTAATTTGTTGTGTTTTCAACACGGTTAGGCGCCAGGGCGTCGCTCATTGGAGGGCATCGGTAGCCCTGACTGCCCTTAACAGCAGGCGCCGTCACCAGATACCCAGTAGTTTTCATCGAACGGTCTATCCCCTACACAGCAAGAAATTATAGGAACACATGTCCTAATACCCTTTCGTTGAAACACACATCCCGATCCCGTATTAATTCTTGATCAGCACGGTGAGCGCATTCAATATAATCTGATCCGTCTATTTCTATATCTGCCCGTTGCTATTTAAATTAGTGAATACTGATAAATATCCACATATATATCCAACAGCATAGGCAGAGTTTTTGTATACAAATATATCGTTTCTTAGTATTACGAGCCGGCTATATTTAATGTTTTTGCCTAAATTCCTTTTGTAATTCTTTAATTCCCAAAAATGTTGCTTCACTTATTAATTGTTAATAAGAAATTATCAACATTGTTGATTTTTTTTTTTTTTTTTTTTGTTTGTAAGAATTTGTATGTTTGAGTTGCTCTTATGATATCAAGAAAATTAACATTGCCTTTAAAAAAAAAGTATTATTAAGTATTATTTATTTTTTTTTATAAATGAAAATCATGCGCGTTCATAATTAAACAGGATTTAAATGCCACGCTGTGTACATTTGAGAATTTATAAAATACATAAGTTAGTTGAAGAATTCTTATACAAGTGATTTGCAATCCAAATTTCTTTCAGTATATGTCCGC